ATGATGGTCGTATATATATATATATATATATATATATATATATATATATATATATATATATATATATATATATATGGAAGTCCACTAATACTAAACGCAATTAAACAGAGAATTTTTTTCATTATAAGTATATATATTCTACATTATAAGTACCCAAATAAGCTATATATATATGAAAAACTGGATACTAATAGCTATTTTGCTAAATTGAGAGCAGTTGAATTAGTCACTGTGAAATATTCCTCAGGCATTTATTTCAATCATTTGTGAGGGGGCCTATTTGGAGAAGGGAGGGTCATATTGACTTTATCGTAACGCAACAAGTAAGAAATGCAGTAAGCTAACGTGAAATTCCAGCCGAATTGATAAATCTAAGCAGTACGTACGCCTATTTCTATTGGTAGTGGAAGGAGAGGGGCTTAATAGAGAGGGGATTGGGTTAATGAATTTAGTTCTTAAGAAGAGAGGGAAAGGGAAACTAACAACCTCGTACCCAGGGTTTTTCCTCTTGTGGAGAGGACCCTGGTAGACGCTGGTCACGTGATCTGCTAAAATTTAGCAGATTTCTAATTAACTATCTTGGATTCCTTTACGATAATCATACAAAATGCAAATTATAAATTAAAATATAAAAATTATTTATTGACCTCATCTTGGATTGCTAATTAAAAATCTGCTAGATTTTAGCAGATCACGTGACCAGCGTCTACCACGGTCTTTTCTCCTCCAGAGGAAAGACCCTGGGTACGAGGTTGGGGACCTATAAATGCAGGATTTACGTCTGACATTTTCTGTTATTCCCCTATTATATAGGTGCTGGTTGGGTTGTTGCTTAATTCCATTTTATATTCAAAGTTGTAAAGACGTTCTTCATCTTTGTCCCTATTGTGGATCTGCTGTTGGAAAATACAACCGACTGTGCTGAGTGCTGGATATAATCCAGTATACTTAATTTTTATGTAAAATGAAGATGAAAGATATATATCTAAAATGAATGGCTATATGTGAAAACATAACAGCGAATCATGAGAAGAATCTAAGTCTACGTTTACACAGGGCTGGATGAATTCGGAACCGTTCTCAAATTCGTCCAGTTCCACATGTTAACACGGAACAGGATTACGAGACGAAAAATGTTCACACGGAACCGAATGAATTGTTGTCCCGGAAGTATTTACGTACACGTGTGCAGATGGTCTCAGTCAGTCTAAATCCCAATACTCTACTGAACAAAATGGTCTTGAAATAGACCGGTTCCGATACAAAACGAGACCCAATTTTATTTCGTCTCGAATTCGTCCGTGTAAACGCAAGGCCGAATTTGAGTACGGATCCAAATTCCCGTGTAAACGGGGCCTAAATCTTGTACCATGCCTTATAAATTGAATAAATGTCTAGTGTAAAGCCAAAGAGGTAATATAGACGCCCTAATATGAGCTATCTTCCCATGCAAGTTACCCATTCCAGAACACGTGATGCATGCATGCTATCATCTTTTATCACTCTTTGTGTTTGCAGTGTGTGAAGGACGCAGTAAGAGGATAAAAGACCTCGCACACTCTGTATGTAAATATAGTCTCAATAATTCTTACATCACTTGGCATAAAAAAAGAGCCAGCCACTTTTGGTAATGTAGTCGCTTCAGTTGAACAAAATCACTATAGCATGCGCATAATGAAGACCACAGTGATTCAGTTGTCGATGAAGAAAAGTGGAATTTCCTAGCCTTTAATTGAACAGGGATACCTTGTTGCTTTCCACAGTGGAATCAGTGTATGTTACACTCCAAATATATGGCGTTTTTTTTTTTTTATAATTTAATTCGCCCAATTTAACTACAAAAAAATTTTGATTATTATATTTACATGTTTATTATTTAGGGCTAGGGGCCTACTAGAAACCATCAAAAGGCTTTTGATTAAGACCCCTAGTTA